CTTGATCGGAAGATAAAAGGAAGAAGATGATATTAGTCTTGATCACTTGCATTTGTACTTATTTTGAGACTCAAATTGTTTGACTTGAAGTTAAGATCTCAGACATTGAAGGATTATAACAGTCAAAATTCAAGATACTTCATTTACATAAGTATTAGTTACAAAATATGATATATATAATCGAGTAAGTTGTCAAAACATTAAAAATAAAATACAAGTGTGATATCATATTTGAACAAGTTCTAGTATCTACAACATTAGGAGATGAATACCTACTAACTTAAGCATCATAACTTTTATCGCCTTTCTATTGGTAAGTATATGTTAGTGCTTTGATAGAAGAAACTCAAATTGTAGCATGCATGATTCATCATGATTTGTTCTGATAAAAATTAATTACTTCATAAAATCTATTATTTTATTCATTCTTAGGGGCTATTTGGTAGCAAGATCTAGGCAAGATTCAACCAAAATCTTGCCAAACAACAAAAATGCAATATATAAATCCGACATGCTCTTAGATCCCCTTTTTCCTCTGCTTTGGCTTAAATACATGATTTAGTAAATTTCGTTGGAAGACGAAATTACGGGATTTATAGAAGCTGAAGTGCAAGAAGATCGGCAGGAGTAAGGTGGGGAAAGAGGAGGGTTAGCTTCCTCAATGGTTTTGGGTAGGAACGAAGCAAAATAAAGAGAAAGATAAGAGTTTCAAAGGTCTTTGCATGTCGCGTTTCTATCGTTGCCTTCCCAGCTAGCTCTAATTGCAATTGTATCGCGAGATTTTAGGGTCTGTTTGGGGCAGCTGCGGCTTATCCAACTTATCCAGATAAGTAGCTTATCCTGAAAAACTACTGATTAACAGCTGATCCAGATAAGTTGACTGTCTGTTTGATTCGTTTGTTTAGAAAACAATTGATTTGCAACTGTTCTGGATAAATAAATATCCCTGTGCAATAATGTTGTTTAGCATAAATCATAGAACACTTTAGACACTTTTGATAAGCTGCGAGTGACCTCAAATTAGGTAGCCTATCCTCCATTTTACAAGATGAAGGATAGTACTGATCTCACCTGAAAATTTATCAGCAGTACCGCCTCCAGTCTTTTCAAGTTTGGATCAATTTTGAAACCACGTTCCCCGACTTTGCAAAGTTTGCGAGCAATTTTAGGAAAATAAAAAACTAGAGATTGCAAATCGCATTTTTGTTTTCTCCATGATTCGTCTGATCAGCTCCTGTCTTCTCAAGCTCCATTTACCCAAAGTCATCTTTCAAATCAATTTACCTCATCAATGGCTTTTCTTAGCTGCCAGGTCCAACTATTGACTATTTGGTTTTGTTCAGTGATCCATTGCTTGGGGGTAATTTGAGGCGACAACTTGGATCTTGGGGTGATTTCTTGCAGTCTCTCCAATTCCTCCTTGTTGTGTGTCTGCCATTTGAACAAATATTGCAGGTAATCAGAGCAAGCGTTGATTAGCTTATCCAAAATCGGACCTACAAACCAGTTTGCGATGGCATCGATCAAGGTTGGAGGAGGAGAGATGGTGGAAGAGAGGAAGAGAATCGAGTCTAAGGGCATACATGTAACTGTCGAAGGTAAGCACGCAGGCTGTGGGGTTGAGCCCACGACCGTGTTTATTATAAAATAACATTTACATTTTTGGTTAAACGGCGGAAACGCACTAAACAAACGATGCGCTCTGCGTTTTAAATTGCAAATGCACCATATAAGCAGCCCCAAACGGGCCATCAATCACGATGAAAATGGGGGTTAAATAGGGATGTAGTAGAGGGGAATAGGAAATAGGTTTGTGGCTTTAACTTATTTTTATTTAGTTAATTTTAATAAATTTAATTGACTAATAATTAATGATTAATCAATAAGTTATCAAAATAGCTATAATTAGATAAACTTATATGTAACTTTTTAATAATTATTTAATAAAAATAAATTACATATTAAAGTATAATTAATTTAATAAAAATCAAATAATTATTAACTGTTTTAATAAGTAATTAATCAAGGATTAATTAATGAATGCTAAATTATTTTGAATATAAGTAGTTTAATAAAATTATTATTAATGATTAATTAGTTCAATAATGCTTAATTATTGATTAGTATAATTATAAAAAAATTATTAGAATTAATAAATATATCATTAATATGCAATATCAAACTCGTGCTTCAAATAGTTGCCAAATAGTTTCACAGGATTTAACCATATGTAACATCTGTTAGGCCAAACAATTTTTATGATCTGAACACTTCAAGTTTTATTAAATTTGGATTTATAGGATTTACTGGTTGCCAAACAGCCCCTTATTTATGCTAGGTAGAACTGATTAACTCTGTAAAATATGGAATTTAAGAAGTACTGTATTGATTTGGCTTCAATTTCCTTGATGTTTTTTCCTACTCAGCATTCCAAATTTGAGTTGAGTGTAATATTTGAGCGAGTTCTTTTTCGCCTCACTCTTTATTGGAAAGCTTTGTATAAATCATCTTCTTCTTTCTTCCTTATTTGACTTTATATCTTTGCAAACTTCTTTCTATCTTCACTATAATTTCTTTCTGACTTGTTCGGCACTAATGTATTTCTTCAGGCCTCAGTTTTTTTTCTAAAAGTCACTCTAATTCATCCCTCAGTTTGTTGCACCTTGCGATTATTGTGTTATGCAAATTGGCTAACAAGAATCTACTCGGCCAAGCAGAAACAAATTGCCACGGAGCAATCATATTTAAATCATGGCAGACATCCCTTGCAAATGACTATGAATATAATGATAAAAAATAGCTGGTTCGAGATCAAAAGCTGTTAAATATAAATTATTTTTGGGCATCAGAGTATCTACATTTGCATTAATTATGACTCACCCTGATTCTATCGAATTGATGATTTTTCATTTTCATCCTTCTAGCTTGGCTTGAACCTTTTAAGGGATGAATGTAATTTACATTCTCTTCGCCTTTGATGACATTTAATTACTGTGGCATCTTTTGAACATAAAACTTATGTAGAGGTTTTGTGTGAAATCGAGACATCTCGTCATGTACTTGGATCTATTATCATTATTTTATGTCTTATTGCTTGCATGTACTCATTACTGTTTTTTGTGAGCGATGCTTTGGAAATGTCCTTCGGCATATAGTCTGGATTTGCTTGATTTGCATCATTTGGACCTAAACTTGACAACTAAGGAATCTGGCCTGAAATTTGAAAAATTGCATTAAAAAAAGAAAGTACTTCTTAACAACTTAACAATAATGATAATTATCACAGATATTCATTTTCTAACTTGGTGACTTGCTTGTAGATGATTGGCGGAGTGAAATTGCTGGCTTAATATATTCTTTGATGTATATTGAAAGCAATCTAACTCCTTTTTTTTACAAGTTTGTGTAGAACTCAACCTCCTCCTCTGGAAAAGTTTTGGAGCCTCCAATTTTAAGAAATCTCGGAGGTAATTGAAGAGGGAGAAAGGTTAGTTCTAAATGTATTGGCTGTGAGCTATTTCTTAAAGGGATTTTTTTTTTCAGAATGTTGTGTGGTCATTCACCAATGTTAAATCAACAAATTTTAATTGATCGCATAAGATTTTGAAATAACAAGTCATATCATTGATACAATAAAACAAAGATTAAAAGTGCCTTCATATTACAAGAAAAATTAAGCTTGGTGAGCACTAGTCCTTGGCATTTTTTTAAATGCATTATTGGATCAGAAAACATTTCCCTGGGAACGATGCCTGGGATGGTAAAATTTATGAATTTGGCATATACAATGAATTGGTTCACTTGTGAGGAACCCACTTTTTTTCGCAACATAATCTGCTATTCAAGTTATTTAACTCTAATTCGTTGTCGTTAGTGACTTTGACAGTGATGACTTCCAAGCAATTTGCAAACATCATAAGTTTTTCTACCAAGATCTCAAAGTGAATTTTTTTAATCCTCCAAAAAGTCGAATCTCGGTAATCTTTTCAATTCTCCTCAATATTCAGACTGGAATTCAGCTTTCAAGGCAAAATTGTTATGTTCTTTGAGCATGAAGGGTTTAAAATTGACAATGCAATTTTTGCCAAAAATGTGTTATTCTTAGACAAACTTGGCGAATCAACCATCTAGTCATCATCATTGATCAAACGATCTACATTCAACACATTATAATAAATTCTTTTCGATGGCTTCTATGACATTGAACTCGACGAAGAGAAACTACCGCTAACATTTATATTTGGAAGAACTTTTTTGAGAAGCTCACTTACGAAAGAAACTTCAGCTGCAACTTATTTTTTTATACTCTCATCTACTTTTTCTTAATCTTTTTCAGGATAAGAGAAGAAGATTCCCCAATATTTTTCATGGCTTTCCCATCCTTATTTCTTTGAACCACCATTATTCTAATCTGTTCCAGAAAACTTAATGCAATCTATTCCTTGAATGAAAAAAAATGGAAAGCATTAAGAGAATTTAAATGAAGCGGGGAGAAATTTGTAGAAATTATTGATATAAAAGATAGAGAAAAGTGCTAAACCAAATGGCTGTAATTTGATTAAATTGTTGACTCAAACAAGTTTGAATACTTTCTTTGTTCTCTTGTTCTTTTAAAAGTAGCCTTCTAAATATACGATAAAGAGAGAGGAAACAAAATGTATATCTAATTATTCTAAGCACCTTGTGCAGGTTAATTCAAATTGATTTAGGATGATTTGGCTGAGTTGGAACTATAAAAAAGATGAATTTGCCAGGTGCGCATGAACTAGATCAAAGTCCACATGAACCTCCGAGACCAATATGAAACTCGTTTAGGTCATCAAGAAATCTTTCAGAAGCAGTTCAAATTTGCCAAAAGCATGGTGAACTTGTTAGAGTCGACTCATTCTATGATACCTTTATAAGTACTCGCCTAAGGTCAAGTCTAGTTAGCCTCTGGAGCAACTTGCTAGCTATTTTGTCAATTCTTATTTATGTAACTTGATATGTAATTTTTTATCTGTAGCAATTAAATCCCAAACCTAGATATAGGTTGTTCTTGGAAGGGCTTGGGGTGGATTGCAATCGCTTATACTTTTGTCTGTTATAGTGAAGTCCCAGATTTTTCCAAATTTTAATCTCTTATTCCTCTCTAAAAAATTTTGTCCTCTTTCTTTCTTGTTGACAGTGCTTGTATAGTTTTTGCTTACCTACAAACACTTTCTGAGTTAATAATCAGAAACTTATTTACCTCCTTGAATATTCAGTTTTTAGGACCATAATGCTGATAATATATATTTTTTTATGGGGCATTTACATACATATCACCCAATTCTTATGCACTTACATATCTAACACCTATACTTCACTTTTTACACTTTTACAACCTAAATCTTTCATATCACATCAAAAATACCACCATTTTAACTTTTAAAAAGTGAAATACCTTTTCATGCTTATATAAGGTGGCATGCATGTAAAAATTAAAGTTTAGGTGTTAGATATGTAAGTACATAGGAATTAAGTGGTAAGTCTGTACATCTTCCCTTTTTTAAACCTGTACTTCTCGTATTAGGTGATACGCATGGTGGTGAGTACATATCAAGCAGCGAGTGGTGCTGGTGCTGCCGCAATGGAAGAGCTTGAACTGCAGACTCGTGAGGTATTGATTTAGATGTTAATTTTTTGTTTTTGTTTTCTTTGTTTTTTTTTGGTACTCTATGTTAAAAATTACGATATTGAACTTTATTGTTTCTTTTGTCAGGTTTTGGATGGCAAGCAGCCCACCTGTAAAATATTTAAACAGCAGGTTTTTTGATTTCTCACATGATTTTTTTAAATCATACATATTAAAATGATTAGTTTGAATTTTTCCTACTTTTTTGTCTTGTGCAGTATGCATTTAATCTATTCTCTCATAACGCCCCAGTTCTCTCAAATGGGTACAATGAGGAGGAGATGAAGTTAGTGAAGGAAACAAGAAAAATATGGGTAAGTTTTAAGGAAATTTACATTCATACCATACCTTTCTTGTGCATTTACATATCTAACACCCAAAGTTTGATATGTACACTTATACCACCTTGGTGTTTTAAATCTATGCATAAAAAGTTGTATTTCGCTTTTAGAAAGTAGTAGTTGTGGTATTTTTGATGTTACGTTAAAGGTTTGAGTGACACACATGTAAATACTCAGGTGTCAGATATGTAAATACATAAGAATTACATGGTATGTATGTAAATGCCTAAAATCTTTAAGTTGACAAAACATTCATTGTTCACTCGTTTTCCATATACAATGTAGCTAAAAATGGTAGTAAAATTTCCAGGCAGCAAAATTTTGAAGTTGTAATGACATTATGAGGAAGTGATAAAGAGGAATTTTAATAGCGGGAATGACAATTATAATTTGATATGTACTCGAGCTATAGGGGCATGCTTTTTTTTTCTCTAATTTATACCCAACAAGTGTCCATGTCGTGTCCCAAGATATGTCTGACAGGACAGAAAGTTTGCATTAAATTTTTTATATATTTTTTAAACATTTCTTGTTGCAGGATGATTTGGATGTTAAGGTGACAGCTACCTGCATAAGGGTTCCTGTCATGCGTGCACATGCTGAAAGTATTAATCTTCAGTTTGAAAAGCCACTGGATGAGGTAAACGACTTTTCAAATTATGTGTTTGCCTCGTATCCTCAATTTTGCAAATCATATTATAGCCCCTTCATTCCATAAATAAGATAAAAAATAAGTGTAAAGTACTCTGCTAATACACAAATCTGTAGTTCAAATATCTCGAGTAGTTCACCATTTAGAATCCATTTTGGCTTCTCTACAATGCTGTTATTTATTTATTATTTATTTTTTTGATTCTTTGATAATGTGGTAGACTGGCGCCTATGACATCGTCGTCCTCGTGCTTCACTAAGTTGATGACTTATGTTAGACTTAAGACTAAAAATGCAATTTAGTCATTTGTTAATTATTATTGTTGGTATAAATTGGGCTAGTATGTTTAGGGTTAGGTTATGCATGCATTTGTGATTTATGTCTTGAATCTTAGGATTGATGGCTTACCTCTCGAATTATAGGCGTTAGGTTTAAGGTTTTGGAGAGATCACTCACCTCTGCAGGTGTTTATCTTTTATGTATTTGGGGTGTGCTTCTTTGTGTTGGTGAAATAAACATATTTTATTTCGTTCTGATTTCTGTGGAAGTTCCTATCAAATTAGTATTAGAGCAATTAATATCTGGGTAGCCAACAACGACATCATAGGGTGCCTTTGTGATCGAATGGTGCAATAAAATTGAGATTTGAGCTAGCTGGGGAGCTAACGAGTGGATCACAACATACAAGATTTATCATCATGACCAAACCTCACGATATAGTTGCAATTGAAGCGTGCTAGGAAGCCTATGATGGGATCACGACTTACAGGATCTCTTCATGACCGAATCTCATGATACAACCGCTATTTGAGCAAGATGGGAAGTATACAATGGGATCATGACATACATGATCCATAGTCGTGACCGAACATCGCGATACAATCGTGATTCGAGCTTGTTGGGAAGCCAACGATGAGATCGCTAGTGTGACTGAACCTCAACAATACAGTCTTGACTCAAGCTTGCTAAGAAGCCAATGACAGGATCACGACATACAAGAGTTTCTTCTTTGTGATCGAAAACCTTCTTTGGAGTAATGACTACTAAGAAAAGTAGATGGCTTAGAGGATAAATTAGAGAGAGTTGAGCTAAATCAGATTTAAAATGTAGGGTATTTCTCGTTTATGGAGTGACGTTTCTCGTACATGGGGGGATGATTCTCGTTCATGGAAGGGAGATTTATGACCCTGAAAGAAATGGTGAAGATCTTAGAGTTTCATGCCAACCCATTACCGCTTGTTGAGGGATTGAGAAACGACGCTTGGAATAGACTCGAGTGACAACAAATCTAAAAAAGACTCGCATGACATCAGTGCAACGTCGCAATCTTAGGCGAATATGAACATGCCATAACGAGCAAAGGAATTTTGAGCAGACTCGAGCGACAACACTTGGAAGGAAGAGTGCGACATTTGGTTGAATGGAACAAACGAAAGTATGTGGGATCGATCGAAGTATTCGGGAGCAGATTCGAGTGAGAAAATCGGTAGGGAATTGTGCTACATCTGGAGGTTTGGAACGAACGACAATAAGAGGAACGGGACAACGTGCGAGTCAGGCCTGGAGAAGATCAATTTGAAGAATTCCTCTTAGAACAAGGAACCATGGTGGGTGGGACCTCGACGAACGACTACATCCATTCGCGTTAGTGTTTTTTTCGCAACAGTCTTTTGGGTGGAAGGTGATTCAAGGGTGAACCAGATTTATGGTAGAAGGGAAATCAATATGGGTCTAGGGCCTATTTTATGCGTGGAATGAGCTTTGGTCAAGGAAATTGGGTAGGAGAATCAAGCATAAGGAAGTTGAAGATACCGATATTTGAAGGAGAGGATACCGATGGTTCAAATTATCACATGGGAGAGTCACATGATACGAAGTTGGCGGAGATTCCGACATTGATCCAACAGCTCCTGCAACAATTTGCAAAAATTTTCCTATTTTCATGTGAATTGCTACTTCAGAGAGAATATGAGCATGCAATAACCCTAAGACCAGCAGTTTCACCCATCAGTGTGCACTCATACCGCTACCGCCAGGTGCAAAAGTACACAATTGAGAGATTGATCTGAGAGGTGTTGCAGATTGAGAACATACAACCTAGTGTGAGCCCCTTCTCTAGCATAATCATGCTAGTGAAGAAGAAAGGTGAGAGTTGGTGTTTCTGTGTGGATTATCTGGTAGTGAATAAAGAAATAATCACAAATTTTACATCCCGAGCATCGATGAGCTATTTATGCGAGTTGTTTGGGGATGTGTTATTCTCCAATTTTGATTTGAAGTTATGATGCTATTATATTCGGATGCGGCCGACAACATTTCAAACTTATGAGGGTCTCTATGAAGGATTACCTGATTATGATTTCATGTGAGAGCCATACGACTTGATCCTAAATGATTTTGGGAAATGAGTAATGTTAGCCAGGCGCCTACGACATCGCCTGCCTCGTGCTCCACTAAGTCAACGCCAAGCCCGCCAAAAAAATTGAAGACCTATGTTAGACGTAAGATTAAAATGACAATTTTGTCATTTGTTAATTGTCATTGTGAGACATAAATATGACTAATATGTTTATGGTTAGGTTATGCATGTATATGTGATTGCTGTTTTTAATCTTAGGGTTTGGCTTGGGAGACATTACCTACCTCTCGAATTGTAGGTTTTTTGGTTAGGGTTTGGGAGACATCGACTACCTCTCAAATTGAAGCTTTTTATTCATTTATGTTTTGTTGTTTGGCATTGGTGAAATAAAAATAATTTATTTTACCGTAATTTTTATGGAAGTTCCTATCATAATGTTAATTTTTTTTTTTAAATTCATTTTTCTATCAAAATGACATTTCAATTTGTGCAAAAGAAAAAAAACCATAATATAAGGATTCTTGCTTTTATTTTTCTCTTTTTCTTACTTATCTGTCTGTATTAAGTTTAGGGTTGTTAAAAATTGACTTGATACGCCAATTCGACTTGAATTTGACTAAAAAAATTAAGCTTCGGCTTGACTCATTTCCAATTTTGGTCCAAAATCCCCACACATTTAATTTTTTGGGTTAAGCTTGGGTTGATCCGTCAACCCAAATTTGATCCAACAACCCAAATTTGACCTGAATTTGATTTGCAAACTCAAATTTTACCCTAACTTGACTCGAAATTAACCCAAAAATGACCTAAATTATGATTTTGCATATTAAATGAGTTTTGTGGGTTGGATTTGATTCATTCATGTAAAGTCAGGTCGTATTCAGGTTAGACTTTCTGATCCATTGAATATTCAACTTGGTTTCGAGGCTATAAGCTACTCGGGGCTGGTTGATTTTGGGTTAGACCGAACTTGACTCGTGAACTCGATTTTGACACCCAACTAAGGTTTTGTTGGGGGCATGATTTACGTTGCGGTATGATATTCTACAGCTCCTCGATGCTGTTTGCGGCGACATTCGTGATGCTATTTTGTAATAGCGACACAATTTTATGGCTTTTCGCAAACTCATATCTCAGACACGGTCTGCTGTTTGGGCGTCTTCTCCCTCAACTCTCTCCTAGCATTACCCCACATTTCTGAACTCTCGCGAATTCCCCGGGCTTTCGATTTGGTTCCTTCGTCTTCATGTTGAGGTCTGCTCTTCATTTGAAGATATAATAAAATAACATCAATTTTCTGATTTATCTTTTAATACCCTCTTCTATAATGATTAGAGTTTAGGCTTTTGCTCCTTCCTCTCTTCCTCCTCTTCTATTCTGTGGTTTTATGAAACTTTTGCTCTTATCTGTTCTGTGATTCTATGGGGCTTTTGCTTCCTTCTATTTTAGTTCGCTAGTCTAATTTATTTCTATGACAAATCTGTTCCTTTTGTTTTCTCACTTTTATATCAAATCCTAGGTTGTGTTCTACAATGTTTGAGAATTTATGATATTTGTTTCTAAAACGGTGAACTTTCAACTAAACAACATATCTGAAATATTCAAACATACATTCTACTTCACCAGCAGTAGCTTTCTCGCAACAATTTCTCTTACAACAGTTTCACAACTGTTTCTTCACTTTTGCTGCCCCAAATAGACTCTAAGTGCCTTGGTTAGCATCTCTCTTTGTTTCTCCTTCAAAACTTACCCTTTTGTTCTCCCACGTAGTGATTTGATAATTTTAATTTCTTAGATGAAAGGCGGAGAAAAGATACATGAAAATGGTTGAATTTTCATGAATAAATTGAAAGACATAAGAAGGGCTACAGGAAGATACAGAAAAGAGCAGAAATAGAAAGGCCTGAGCAATTACGAAATTTTTTCATAAATGTAGTAGGGTATAAATATATATAAATATATATATAGGAGATTCAGGAATGCAGCAGGGTATAAATATATATATAGGAGATGGCTGTACTTTGCTGTTACATGAAATCATTGGGAAATCTGGATGATTGGTGGCGATGAACTAGGCAGTTGAAGAGTTTATTATGAGGAATTCTTTGGATGATCAGGTGCTGTTATCATCGCCCTGTAAGATGACGAACCAACACGGATTGTTAGCTTGACCCTCAGGACTCAAGAGGGAATGCTTAGATTTGCTGAATAGATTAGCTAACTAGTCTTGTGTGTGAATGCGTTGCATAGTAATTATGCGAGCTTTGACACAATCTCAAATTTAGTAACAGTCCACTTCAATATGTTTGGTTCTAGCATGAAATACCGGGTTGTTAGAGAGAGCAATAACTGAGGCATTTTAGGAGATAGTGGGGTAGGCGAGGCTGATGAAAGGCTGAATTCTTGGAGATGATGACGAGTTTGGGCGATATCAGTTACTGTGGTAGCTTTGGTGCGATATTCTGCCTTTGTGGAGAAACGAGCAACAATATGCTGTTTCTTGACTGACCATAAAAGTAGGCTGCTTCCAAGGAATAGGCAGAAGCCAGTGGTGCATCGGCATTCTGGTTATCTTCTGCCCAGTCTGGGTCAGATTAGGCTTGTCGTGTGAGGTTAGTGCGATGGACGAGTAGGCTAAGATGCAGAGTTCCTTTTAAGTAATGAAGGATGTTTTTAAGATGGTTGGTGCGATGGACGAGTAGGCTAAGATGCAGAGTTCCTTTTAAGTAATGAAGGGTGTTTTTAAGAAGAGAATAGTGATGGGGGGATGGCTTTTGCATAAATTGACATATGCAGTTGATGGCAAAGGCTAGGTCAGGTCAGGTCTTGTGACGGTGAGATACTGCGAGGAGCCAACCAATTGGTGATAAAAATGTGGGTGACTGTATGGTGAAGTTGGAGTACTTGGTTCTTGTAGACGGATAGAAATGGGAGTGGCTTTGGGTCAGCAATCAGTCTTACCAGTCTTGGCTAGGATATACAGGGCATAATCTGTTTGGTTGAGATGAGGTGCTGAGCTTGTTACTGCAAGCCTAAAAAACGAAGATAATGATCCAAGGTTTTTCATGTGAAAGGCACATTTTAAGGACTGAAAAATGTTCTTCGAGGCTGTTATGTTATTTCCTTTGAACAAAATGTCATTAACATATATTAGGATATAAAGAGTAGTGGTGCTGATCTCAATATGAGAAGAGAAGGATCTGATTTTCTGGGAGTGAAGCTGAGTTGTATATATCTAGTGAAGGCTGTTGAAAAAAACATTAGAGGGCCTTTTTGACGCACGAGACATAATTATGATATTGTTGATCAATGAAGGCCTATACGGACTGTTTAAGTTGGTGATCCGTGAACAAAGGCATTTGAGACATCTAGTTGTTAAGTTTGCCAGTTGCGGGAGATTGCAATTGTTGGCATGAAGCAAATGGTGGGTAACTTTGCAACAGACTTGAACTTTTTATGTAATCAAATCCATATTCTCGTTTAAAGCCTTGAGCAACTAGGCATGCTCTATGCTGAGCAACACTACCATTGTTGTTATATTTGGTTCTACAAGTTCTCTAGCATCTTAGTACGTTCTGTGCGTAGGGAGGAGGTACAATTTTCCAAGTTTCTTGATCCTGTAGGGCTTGAAATTTGAGTGTCATTGCTTGAATCCATTGAGGTTCTTTGATGATTGTGAAGTAGGTGAGTGGATGTGAAGGTCTGATGTTATGCAGTAAGTTCAGAATTGGTTTTGGTTTTGCTTAGGCCTATTTTCAAGGGCGATTTTATTGCTTGAATCCATTGAGATACTTTGTAAGTTCAGGATTCGTTTTAAATATGTCCCAGTTGGCATCACATTTTTATTTTGTTTATGTTTTGATTTGAATTAAAACATATTTGGTCGTATTATTTATTCTTCAAGCACTAAAAGCAGTTAAAAATTTTTATGAATATTTTATTTGTTTCTAAAAAAAAATAAAATATGTAAAAAGTATACTAAATAAATATATTTAACAAAATAAAAGCAAAAAATAGAAAAAAAAAAAAGATGGAAAAAAGTCCTTTATTATTCTTCAAAACTATATTAGATTAGAATTAGAGATTTCCTATGGAACATAATTGCACGGGAAAGATTCATTAATTGCCTTTTAGACCATAAAGCACTCTCCCTGCTTTCAATGTACTATTTTTCCTGAGAATAGCTGAATGCAATTTTTATTCCCCATTCTGTTTTTTTTTTAATTTACTAGATTCCATGTTGGTTGATTGTAGGACACTGCAAGGCAAATTCTTAAAGAAGCTGCTGGTGTGGTGATTATTGATGACCGCAGTTCTAATCTCTTCCCAACTCCGTTGGAGGTTTTAATTCTTTTCTTCCCTTTTACTCTTTATTCAAGATCATATGAATTGGAAAAATTTCATCCATAGCACTAAAAAGTTTGTTATTTGCAAAAGTAGCACCCTCTTTCAATTTTTTTTTTTTAATTCTCACCCAAATATCAAATTATCCCATATTTTAAATTTTTTAAAGATTCCTATGCCATAAAAATTATCACACATAGCACAAATCTAAAAGCATTTCTAAGAGTATAAAAGCTTATAATGATCAAATTTTGGTTAGAATATTCTTACCGTTATGTCTGTTTGGATTCAGACTTGGCTTATTATCTCAAATTATTGCATGTTTGCAGGTATCAAATAAGGATGATGTAGCGGTGGGTCGAATTCGGCAGGATTTGTCTCAGGAGGGCAACCATGGGTAATAACAGAAGTTTCTCACTCTTT